AGGACCCGCAGCCCGGGGGCTCGTGTGCTCCGCGTCCCCACGGGAGGAGGGCGGCCTGGGGATCCTGGCAAAAGGCCTCGGCTGGTGGGAGCTGCAGAGGTGTGGCGTGACCCAGGCTGCCACCCCCTCTGCCCTGCAGCCTGAAGGAGTGTGACAGTATGGAGGGACCTCAGGAGCCCCTCAGCTCACCCGGGAGATGTGGGGCAGGCATCCCCCCACAGACCCCTGCCGGACCTTCAGCCCCCATGGCAGCACAGAGAGCAGTGGGGGACCCTGGGTGGGGAGAAGGGTCCAGGGAGCCCCAGCCCCAGTGCTGACCCTCGCTGCCTCCTGCTCTTCCCCTCAGCTCCCTCCATCCCCACCCAGCTGAGGCTCAGCCCGGGCTCCAGCACCAGCCTTGTTGCCTCCTGGGTGGGCGCTGGGGGGGCCGCCTGGCTGCACCTCGTGCTCCGCAACCTCCTCACCCAGACCGTGACCACCACGCTGTCGGCCAGGAGGGGCCTCACCACCTACACCTTCCAGCATCTCCAGCCTGGCACCCGGTACTGGCTGGGGCTGAGCGCCACGGCAGGGCCCTACACTGCGGAGGGGCCCAATGCCACCGCCTGGACGTGTGAGTATGATGGCCAGGGACGGGGGAGGACCTCGGTGGCCCTGGCTTTCTCCCTGCCTCTGCTCCAGCCTCTGAATCCAAAGGACTTCTGCCAGACCCCCAGGTGCAGAGGGCAATGCTTCTGCTCAGACCTGGCCGAAAGCCGCTCCAGGAGCCGTCTCTGGGGTGCTGCGATAGTGGGGCCAGTGAGTCCCCCCCCAGTGCATTCCCAGGGCTGGCCTGCTTTGCCCTGGGTTGCTCTGGGATCAGCCTGTTGCCTCTCCCTGAGGAGGAGGATGGAAGGGCAGCAGATCCCTCTGCCGTGTGGCGCAGCCGGGGCCGGGCTCTCACACGCCTCCCAACTGTCCGAGGGCAGCAGAGAAAACAGGGGGCAAGAGGGCAGCAGCCTGAGCTGGAGGTTCCTGGAGGGTGATGGATCTTCAGTCCCCTCTGATTGCTGTCAAGCGTATATTTTGGTAGCACCCAGTAACCTCATCCTGGTGGATGTCCCTAATGTGCCGGGTGCTGTGCAAACACAGCCAAGGACGCCAGCCTCTGGCAGGTCACAAAACTGAGGGCAGCCCTCCCAGACCCCAGCTAGGTGCACCATGCAACCCAGCTCCCTCCACCTTCTGGCCCCAGGCTGGCAAGGGCCCCGAGAGCAGGTGACTTCCACCTCTACGGTCCTGGTTTGCCGCCAACCCTGCACTGAGAGCAGCTTTGGCCCTGGAATTACTCTCCCAGATGTTCCCAGGGAAACCAGGGGGAAAAGGGAGGGGGCAGACGTTGCCTCCTGGTCAGAGCAAGGCTCATGCCGAGTGCTAACAAAGCGTTGGCCCTCTATAGTGAGGAGCAACAAATTATGGAGGTGCCAAGCTGCAAGCTCAGGGCTGTTGTGGCCAGTGACTCCTCCTGGCCCTGGGCAGAGGCACTGGTCAGGCGGATGCTGGCAGGACCTGGTTGCCACCAGGTGACAAGTCTCCAGTTTTTCCCCCCCCCCCCTGCCAGCACAGGAAGCCGGAGCCTGCTCGCTGCTGACTCTGCAGCTGGGATTTTGGAAGACCTCCACACCCCCAGCTGCTTTGTTTCTGCTATGGAGTGAGCCTGGCTTGATCCCTGCCGTTGCCAGTCTGCGGCTCTGACCTACCCGGCTGAACAAACGTCCCCCGTGCCAGAGGCGTCCGGCCAGGAGTTCGGCCCAGGCCAGTTCCTGGGAATATCAGCAAGCTCGTGATGGGACACAAATGGAGAGGAGAGGGACTTTTAGGAATTTCCCAGCAGGGCTGCCAGCTCTGTCTGGGCTCTGCTAGACCAGGAATGGTTGTGCTGGTGAATGGAGAGAGCACGGTCCAAAAGGATGTCTAAGGCTGGATGTAACCCTGCAGATAAGGAAGCAGGGAGCGAGGCTGAGGGGTGTATGGGGTCCAGAGCACCTCATAATCCTGACGCACACAACCCTGTTCCCTTCCCTTCCAGACCCCCTGAGCCCTGGCAATGTGACCCTGAGCAGCGCAGAGGAGCAGAGCTCCTTGCAGGCTTCCTGGAGCACCCCTGCAGGAGAGAGGGACTTCTACCTGGTGATGCTGCAGGAGGGGGAGGAGGGTGCTCTGACCAGGAACATCTCCGTCGGCGGAGACAACAGTCATGTCACCTTCCACGGGCTGAGCCCTGGGAAGCGATACTCTGCCCAGGTGACGGCGGTGGCCGGGCCTTACCGGGCGTCAGCCCGCAGCACAGCAGCCTGGACAAGAAAGCAGAAAGCCCGAGCGTGTCCTTTCAAGGCCATTTCTGCTGCCTGATGGAGGGGCTGATGCCTGGAGGGAGGCTGGTGGGACGGGGAGGGGGACGGCGGCGAGGGCAGAGTTGGGGCTGTGCAGCGCAGCGGTCCCAAGAGCAGGCTGAGGGTGAGAGCAGCAAGGTCTGCTGCCCCACACGCAGCTCCTCGTGGGGGTGGTCTCAGAGGTCCCTGGCAGGCTCATGCCAGGCACCCTCAGGCGTGAATCAAGACCAGACCCTACTCAGTTACCTTTGGGCTCGGTGTTCGGCAGGCTTTGGGACACCTTCCCCTCCCTCCGCTCGCAGCAGCTGGGTTGGTGGGTAGTGACAGGGGGTGTGCCCCCAGAGCAGCATCTCCCTGTGCCCAGTCCCTCCTGGGTGACTCGTGGAGCCATGGGTGGTGCTGTCCTAGAGCTGCCACCCTGGGGAGGAAGGATGGAGCCTTAAGCAGCATGGGGAGGCACTGGGCACAGTAAAAGCCTCTCCCTGCAGCCCTGACCACCCTATTTGGTGGGGGCTGCTGCAGCGTGCCGTGAGAGCAGCCGGGCTGCCGGATGCCCTGCCCCACGCAGTGACCTGCATGCTCCCATCCTTGTCCCCTGCAGAGCCGCTAGCACCATCTGGTGTGAGTCTGGCCAGCCAGGGCAGCCCCTACAGCCTACTAGCCAGCTGGGAGGAGGCAACGGGAGAGGGCTACCTGCTGGCCTTCAGCCCCGTGGAGCACCCAGTGAAGAACAGCTCTCTGCTCAGAGGCGTCACCAACGTCACCTATGAGGGCCTCCGTCCTGGGACCCTCTACACCCTTGAGGTCAGCACCGTGGCTGGCCCCTACACATCCACACCCCGGCGCATCAGCAACTGGACATGTGAGTGCCACAGCCCTCGCTGCACCCAGCCCTGGGGTCCCCACTGGGCCCTGCCGTTCCTGGCCATGTCGTGCCTCAGGGCGCCTGGTAGCATGGGTCTCCTGCAGCT